ACCCAACACCCAAAATGAAGGAAAGAAAGGTTTATTTAACTCACAGTTAATGGAGGATTCAGTCCATACTCAGCTGGCTCCAAGGCAGAGTGGCACAGGGTAGAGAGCAACCTTTCATGGTAGTGGCAAAGAGCAGAGAGCAAGGGAAGAGTAACAGTGACAATGGCTGCAGAGAGCACATCTGTTTCTATTAAATTGCATTCAGGCTGTCTGCCCCAGGCGGGGTGCTGTACTCACACCCCTAATCCCAGCAGCACCCACACCCAAAATCCCAGTGGATCATGAGTTAATCACAAACTCTAGAAGTCTGCCCCATGACTGCATGAGGCTTTGGGGGGACAACTAGACACAAACTTTAACACCCAGCCAAGTGGAGTATGGACTAGGAGCAGGGATGTGAGAGAAGAAAGGAGTGTTTCATGATGACCGTTCTGTATTATTTGGCTTTCATTTTTTGTTTGATATAAATAAGCAAGTACTTTTCTTAAAAAAGAAAAAAAAAATCATGCTACAGTCTAAATGCAGTAAGTAGTCAAGAAATAGGATAACAGCAGAAATGGAAAGGAAGGTGTGACAGACACCAAAAGGAGAATTTTATAGACTCGATCAATAATTTAACACATAGCACAAAGAAATGGAGGACCTAAAAGATTTTTCCAAAGTCTTGGCTCTGAATAAAAAAGATGTTAGAGTCACTACCAAAAATCAGGAATTTGGGAAAACACTCTTGCCTATGAAAAATATGCCTAGTACAGTTTGAGTCTTTTTGTAGGAGAGGATATTGGAAATAAGTGAATTTATGTAGCATAAATATTTTCTCATTTCAAATATCAAAACCTAAACAGTCAAATGGATTCTGCAGAATGGGATCTTTTACTTTATGTTATGCATGTGATTAGATAGCTAGTTGTTGTCAAATGACAAAAAGGAGAGAAATGTGCACCATTTCTAAAAAAACTATCCAGGCTTTACAAAGGAAAGACAAGTGCTTATCCTCCACTAACAGGATGGGGGTGGGGGGAGGAGGAGACCTAGGGAAGCGCAGCCAGGGCTTCCCAGATCAAAACTGGATGCCTTTAATTGGCACAATAAGATCATTGCAACCCCTAGGTGATAAATGAGTAACTGAGCACAGGCTTAACATTCAGTCAGATCTACTTTTGTCTGTGTGCTGGGATGAGGACAGTTTCACAGAAATATCCTGTGACACAAAAGAGTTGGGGTTTTTTTATGAGCAGAATATATTTATTGAGAAAAAGAAAGCTCCTGTCTGAGAGAGGGACAAGAGGGGGGCCCGAGCGGGTAGTTTCCTACCAAAGAGTTTTAAACGTGTATGGTAAATAGTTTGAAAGTAATGAAAATAAATTATGCCAATAGCACCACCCACTGGGCACAAAATAGATCGTCTAGACCTGCCATGAGAGACCAGAACATGATCCACCATGGTGTGTGCATGCAAACACACCACACACACACACACACACACGCGCGCGCGCGCGCGCACACACACACACACAAAATTTTTCCTAGAAGTTTTCAAAGCTTAAATTTAAGTTCAAAATCAAACAATGAAATGTTTCCCCCATGTATATCAGCAAAACTAATTAAGTAAAGACACATTATTTGGTCATTTTTTTTCCATCTAAAGCATATACATTTGAAAAACGCCTCTTTCCTAGCCTACCCAAGAGAAAATGGTGCACATGACACAGAATTACATTGCTAGGAATCATCTATGGTAGGCTAAAAGAAAAGCCCAAGCCCCATGCTAAATAAGATCCCCATGTTTTAATTCTTGAAACCTTTGAATATAAGACCTCATATATAAAAGAGCTTTTGCTGATGAGATTTTCAGATGAGAAATTACTCTGAATTACCATGGAGGGTCAAACATGATTACGAGAGTCTTTACAAGGGAAAGGAGATTGAGAAAGAAATGTAATGAAAGGAAGTAGAAGTCAGATAAATTGTGAGCTCCTAAGTTGGAGATAAGAGCTAAGAGCCAAGGAAACTAAGAAAAAAAAGCCCTTTCAATGCCTTTCTTTTATCCCAAGTGAGACTAATTTTGAACTTCTGACTTCTAGAGGTACTACATTCTTTTATGCCATCAAGTCTGAGATTATTTATATATATTATTTATATAATTTTTAAAAAATACATATACATACAAGTTGGGGAGACAGGTTGGTAGTTCTTTATAAAACATGGACTCATCCTATAACTCAATAATGCTATAGTTGTTTATCCATGAAAAATAAAAACATGCTCACATAAAAATTATAATGAATGTGGATGACTCTTAAACACCCAAAACTGGATATAACCCTAATATCCATTCACTAGAAGCTGGACAAACATGCTGTGTTATATTCATATATTGCAGAATGCTATGAAAATGAATTCCTGCTACAAGCTACATGATATTAATGTCTCAAATGTAATATGCTATATGAAAGAATTCAAGGTCCAAAAGCTGCAGATCATATGCCCTCTTTGGTATGACATTCTGAAAAGGAATATCAATAGGGATAAAAATCAGGTTAGTAGTTTTTTGGATTAGTAATGAGCAAAAAGAACTGCAGAAGAGTTTGAGGAAACATTTTGCAAATATTTCATAATTATAGTGATAATTAGTAGACTAGGATTGCATTTTTCAAAAACCAAAGCACTGTACATCTTCAAAGAATGAATTTTACTGTAAGGAAATGCAGCCTCAATGTACCTAACTCTGAAAAGTGAAATGAAATGCAAGTAGCTGGAAACTGGACTGGCCACTGGCTCATCTCAAGATTTCTCCAAACTGAAGTCCTGAGCTATGTGGAGTTGAGCCATTGTGAAGCAAGATGTGGTTGTGATGAACAGTAATGGTCAGGCTCTCACACACTGCTGAGGTTCATGCTGAAATGGGTTAGAGGCACTCAACGTTTTTCTTTATATTTCTTCCCACTACTCTGTTCCTCATCTACCCAGTTTCCTTCCCCACATGTAGCCTTCATTACGAGTTTCACAGGTAACCCTCAGAAGTACGCTATTATAAATGCATAAAGATTTTTCTTTTAACACATGAGTGATGTGACCATTAATACTGATATGTAAGTTTAATTGTATTAAGAAATGCCTAGCAGGCTGCTAACACACACATCTGGATGCGTCTGGAGCCATGACCTCTGGGTGTCTCCAATCCCTGGCCTCTTCCTCTCCGACTGTTCCCCTGCTCTGCTTCCTGGCTGCCATGAATGTGCATTACTTTACCCATCCTCCTACTGACTGACTTTCAGACGTTGTTTCAATGTTAGAAGCAATGCTACAATGAACCTATTTTAGTTCACATATGTAGTAACTGCAGTTCCCTAAAAATACATCTGTCAAATCAAAGGTTGTAGTGTATGTGTTGGTAAATATGATGATGCTGAATACTTCCCAAGGCGGTAGAGCAACTCACCCCTATGCAAGATGGTGTTAGCCATTAGCAAGAACTGTTTGATTTCTGCCCAACTGAGAAGTGAAAAATCATACATCATAGTTGTTTTGCACTGATCTTACTATGAATGAAGTTATACATCTTCCCAAATCTTTCAGAATAACTTACACTATCAACTCTAGAAAAGATTGTTCATGTCCTTATCCTTCATTTTTCACGGTCCATTTTAAATGATCTTTTTTCTTTTTTTTTTTTTTTTGCGGAACCAGGGTTTGAACTCAGGCCCTTGTGCTTGCAAGGGAAGCACTTATTCCACTGAGCCATCTCCCCAGCTCATGGTCCATTTTACGATGTATGTAATATGTGAAATATGAATCTAACTGAATCTTTTCCTGGATGACTATCCAACTATCTTCATACCACTTAGGTATATAAAAAGAAATCATTTAATTTCTACATGGCAATTAAGACCTCTCTTTATCACATGTTCAAATATATGAGCCTCTATAATTGGGTTTGCTATTTTATCTGTCTATGCAACAGTTCTACATGAATTAACTACTCAGGCTTTATAATCTGTTACAACATGTGTAAAGAATAATGTTCCCTCGTGGCACTCACTTAGTTTTGCTTGCAATTTTATTTTCACATGAAATTTAGAGTCAGTTGGCCTAGTTCTGAAAAAAGCTCACTGGCTTTATAATAACTCCCAGAAAGAGCTGGGCAGAATTACAAAACTGGATAAATGTAAAAAATATTCAAGTGCATTAGTTGATTTTTTTGAAACATGACAAGGCTTATATTGAAAGCTAGTGAGATATTTAAGAACAACACCTTCAAATATATCAGTTTTCAAATGAAAAGTATAGATAACTGAACTCGGTTCTGCATCAAAATTGTCTACATGGTTTATGGGTTAAAAACTCCAATGTCATATGTACACACAAACAAGTTTTATGGTTCCCTTAGATATTCTAATAACATAAAAGGTTGTGAAAAAACTATTTAAAATCTTTCAAATGGAGAGTATCCATTTTATCACAAAATTGTATTGATGACAATTACTTTGTTTTTAGAAACATATGCCCAAGATTGTAAGAACAAATAGGAAAAATTTGAAATTGCCTGAAGAGGTGGTTTGAAAGCAAAAAAGAAATGGTAAAAATCAGAAGACAAAAAAAAAAAAAAAATACTTGATCCTTCCTAAAAAAAAAAAAAAATTATATTATCTCAAAAGTGGCAGTTCATAAACTTAAAAATGAGTTTATAACAAAAAAAGAAAAAGCTAAGATTCTGAAATTTTATGTTAGATTTTAAAATAAGCTTTCCTAGTTAGCACACAGTGCCACACGAGCCACCAGAGCGGATGCTCGAGTGAGCACGCAGCACGTGCCCTGCAGACCCTTGCACCCTCCTCCTTCCGTGCCGGGCAGGAAATCCAGTTTGTGATACTGCACTTCTGTGCTCAAAGAACGGGCTATAAATGCAATTCTCAGCAAACATCACTGCCAATTCACTGGCTTAAAGAAAATGCTATCATCTTTAAATACACAGACTTTCTAAACACACACACACATAATTCAGAGGGAAAGAAATGTTTATTTGTCATTAATCTTTTACCATAGTTTTGTAGGTTTAATTGAGTAGTAAACTTGATTAATAACATTTCCAGGAGTTCACAATTTTAAGGCTAAGGTTCTGCTAAAGGTAATATGGTTATGAATTTAATATACATGAAGCTTTATAAAAGGCTAAAAGCGATCTGCCCTTTTAGAGAAAACTACGAAGGATGCAGGCACTTGACATAGTAACGTAATGCACTTCAGTACTGCAAGTGTCAGACGCAGGAGGGTCTCACTGGAAGAGCAAACAGAAGCACCACTATCTTCTCCTCCTTATTCAGCAGCGTGCTACAGTGAGTAAGGCAAGGTGGTGGGCGCTGGCTTCTGGAAGCTGAGCTGCAAGTGTGGGGAAGGCGGTGGGGCAGGGGCCGGCACAGGGCCGGGAAGGCACTCCCCAGCAGCACGTCAGTCATCCTCTCCTCCACAGAGCAGCAGCAGGGCTTTCTTATAGTCCCCAGATGTGTCACCCTACAACCCAAACGCACCATTAACCTCCATGACTCATGGAACCCACAGGAAGTACAACACCAGGACACATCTGCCAAGAAATTTTGTTCCTATGACTTTTCTCCCAAGTGGGTAATCTCCCTGTGACTTTCACATTGGGAATGTTGAGCAAGGAGTTTCTTACCAAAGAACTGCTTCGTTTTCTAAATTTACTTGTTAAAGGCATAGTTCTATGATAATTAAGTTCCATATCTCTCTAGGAATACAGAGAACAAGGAAACAACAATCTGACATCAACTCCTACATATAGTCTTCACGTTTCTACTGCATATTATGCATCTGGCTCAAGACACTGGCAAAGCTGAGGCCATGCACAGGATGCTGCTTTGCCTCAAAGACAATGAAGGTAGAACATATTTAGCCTCTGTCTCATACTCAGATATGGATGAAATATTAATGTTTCAAGCTGTAAGGACAAAGGCAAACTCTGGTGTCCTTCAACCCAACTAAACCACACACACTAAATGAGAAGGTTTTGCTCACTGAAATCCTGTCCTGTACTTGGCCCACACTGCCATATCCAATGGATGGGGTGCCAGAATACCTTAGGCCAAATTTAATTCTAGATCACAGAGTGCCTTGCTCTTAAAAGAACAAAGCTAATAGTAACACCTGTTAGCTTAACGCTCCCCTAACAGTCTAATTTCTATTTTGGGTTGAAAGCCAGCTAACTCCTTCATTCCATCCCTCATTCCACTTTCCCACCCAAGCCATCCCCAGCCCCATGCTGAAAAGTCACTGCCATTTCCTCTCTCAGGCTGAATTCATGACTTCAGCCCCCCTGATCTTCTGCTGTACTCCTTGGGTCCCTAGATCTTAAATCTGCCTCACAGTACCCAGGTTCTTTAATCAAGAGATGGCTTGGCTGGCTCTTCCCTGAACTATGAACTAACACCAGAGATATGGTGATAACAGACAATTAAGGAAGGAAAAAGCTGATATTCTAGAAAGGAGGAAATAACAGACATTGCAACTAAGAAAAGACAGAGAGAACACATTATTATCAGAGGCAAGGACTTGGGCTTGTTGAGTCACCTGTCACCACTACTACATAATGCTTCTAGGTTAACCAAGAAGCTCAGCCACACCAATAGTCAAGCTCTCCCTGGGGAGCCACTGTCCCTAATTCAGAAAGCACTAGGCTGAGTTTCACTCCTTTAACTCCTAACTCTAGCTATATAATTAAAATGTAAAGTTCACACAAGAGTTGGATTCTCCCATCCATGTCTTGCATGCTACCTATTGACCTCCTCTAGGCATTGAAACATAATTTACAAAACGGTTCTAAAAACCTTGCTAAGCTTTGTGCCTAGATGTGCCCCCAAAGCCTCATGCCATTACGGGAGCACACTTCTTGAGTTTGCGACTGATTCATGGTCCAATGCTGGGATTATGAGTGTGAGTGCCATTCCCGCCCTAGGGCAGGTACCCACATATAATAAAAGGGAGGGAAAGAGGTTTGCTTTTTCTCTCCTCCTTCTTTTGTTCTTACTGTGTTTGCTGTCTTCCGCTGCCATGAACTGCTGCCCTCTTCCATGTGCCTCAGAGCCAGCAGATTATGGACTGAAACCTAAATAAACTAAATAAACTTTTTCTTCCTTAACTTCGGAGCACCAGGTTATTTTGTCTCAGAGTAAGAAAAGTAAGCAAGACATACCTTAATCATGGAATAAAGAGAGGTGGCAAAATTCTTCCTGAACTCCTTCCTAATGTTAAACAGATCAACCTCACTCCTGGACACCATAACTCTGATGAGGGTATGGTCATCTGTCCCGGCTCCCTTTAAAAAACAAAAAGAAAGGTATATTGTTTACAAATGTCAAGCACAGCATCAAACCCCCTGACCTGGGGTAACTTAATAAATTCAAACAATGCAGTAGACCTGGGTTATATATTTTAAGAGAAAATATTCCCATAATCAGAGATGGAGAAAATAACTAAAATGATAAATTAATTTTATTTTTATTTTATTTTTTAATAATTTTATTGAGAAACAAATAGCAATGAGACAGTTTAAATAATTGATACACTGCATATTATTGTCTTAGTGGTTATTCACTGTACAAGATGTAGACATGATATCCTGTCCACAGACACTATTAGAACAAATCTCTCTATTCACTGAATTAAGAGAATGTAGTTATATATCTATCCTAACCAAAAAATGATAAATTAAAAGCTTCAGGATACCCACTTACCTTCATAGCATAGTAGAGGGTTTCTGCAAGGTAGGCAGGAATACTCCGAATAGATTTCACTAAGAAAATAAATAATGCAACGATCAGATGCTATTTTAACAGGAAAATTAACACAGGCCTAACATAGGTATAACTCTGTGGTAAAGAACTTGCTTAGTATGTGTGGGGCCAAGAGGTCAAGCCCCAGCACCATAAAAAAAATAATAATAATAATACTGAGTTTAAAACAATATAAAAAGAAAAGTAACATGTTACAGAGCTGCTTATTTGTAACCGGACCTGATTTCCTCACTCACAGTACGTCCCTAGATGCCAACGTCAATTTTCCTTGGAGTTGTGTTCTACATAGAAAGGCCTGCGGAACAAGGGTGCCTTTCTTCAATACCCCTTTGTTCCTTGAGCACTTCTGGATATTGCTGTTTTGGCAGCCTGGGTTTTTACTACACCACAACCTCCTTCATCACCAATGAATTAAACCACTTTGAAACTTTTATTCTAAGACATTCAAGCAAGTCATAGAAGATAACCGTCCTATCTAATCTTTGAAAAATCCTGGACTATCTTCCTATATCCTCTATATTGTTTGAAATCCATGATACATTAGTAGCTTGACATTTGTCCAAGTCTGGACAAATACTCAAACTGACATCAGAAGAGTTTATCATCTCTGAACAAGGATATTATGCTAATACCCCAGTCTGCTCAGCTTTGGGAAAACTTTCAGATGAAAAGTCCTTAATACACCAAATTTATCCTTGAATGATGAGGTTTTTGAACTCTTCCTTTTCCACTGCCTAAGAAGAACTGCCACTAGCAATAAAAAGGTCATTACTTTCTGTGTATTCTAATTATAAAGTTTTCTAGCAAAAGCTCAGGAATGGCACACTCAAATAAAAAGCTACCTTGAGTATTGCTTCTTGCAAATATTTAGCTTTTTCTCAAGGGGAGAAAAAAATTGAGCTCCCACTAGAACAAACTTTAGACAGAGGCTCCCTGAAGACCCACGAGAGAAGCAGGACCAATGGGAATCCACAGGTTCACCTCTTTCACAAACTGGCTTCGGAGCACACATAACCTAGTGACCTACACACGCTCAGCTTCTCAGATTAGTCTAAATTTTTACTTATGATAAAATTCCAAATTACTTCACCTGAAAATAACTATCATCTCATCTTCTATTATATCAAAAATACTCTTTTTTTTTTATTAACCACATGACAATCTCTCAGTTTGCCTCAAAGCTATGAGGATAGTACTTAAGATTATTCTAAAATTCCATTGGTATAGGTAACAGTATTTATAAGCCTCTAAGGTAATGCCCACAACATATCAGGTTCATGACAAAATAGTAAGTTTAATGCAGTTTCAAAATGATTCTTTTAACAACTCCTAGTATTTCCATTTTGAACTAACCTGATGATCATGTATTTCTAACATCACAACAAATTTCTAAGTTAGAAACTTAGGAGTTGCTTGTCACCCAATAACATGACGTCTGTTTTTCCACAAAGGAACGTGTGGTTATCCTCAGATTTAGTCTCAGCTGAATAACACACTTTACCTCTTCTCACCACAAATATGACACACACTGCCAAATACCTACCAACAGCAAGCAGTAGCTGCTCCAAATTACCAGAAGTCTCCCGGTCAATGGTTTCCTCAATTTGAAATCCTGATATAGTCATGTACTTGTCAAACACTAAAAAAAAAAACAAAAAACATTCTCAATCACATAAGGAACATCTTTCCAGAAAGAAGGTATTTAGTCTGACCAGGTATTGTCCTACCGACCATTCATATGACAGAGCCTTTTCTCCCTTTACATAAAGCCTGGTGGTTTGTGTTTTACGTGCCAGGCTCTAAACGATGGTTTATAAATGCTTTGTTCACTGACTTCCCAACTTCCCTAAAAGTGATAACCATGAGAATTAAAGTAAATCTACTATAGGGAATTCTAAGTAATGTTTCTCTTTCTTCATAAAAAGATGCATGACTATCCCTTTCTTTTCTACTGGCCAGGAAATGGTTATGTTTGGAGCTACAGCAGCCAATTTCTGGTGATAAAGCAATGAGCATGAGAAAAAAAAACAAAACATTAAAGATAATAGAACATGAAAACAAATTTCCAAGTCATACCAAATCTAACGTGTAACTCTACCTTCAGAAATAAAGCCCAATTTGTAAAGCCACTCAGGATTTTCTGTCCCCTGCCAGCCAACTCAGTATCAACCAGTAAGTACCAAAAGCATCAGTGAAAATTCAGAGCTAGGGTCCTGGTATCGATGTCTACGAGGATGATGTGTAGCGAGTCAGTGCTCAGGAGCTTTTGACTCTGACAATAAGATGCTAGAGCCCTCTGACAGGGATGGGTAGACTACGCAAAGGGTAATCAAAGTTCTTCACATCACTACACAAAAAGGTAAAAAAGAAAAAATGGATTCATTAAATGTCTCATAGGTAGCAAGTATTTTGCCATACTGGCTTATAGTTTGAAAACTGATCAAAGTGTTTGTCTCACACAGATTTTTCACTCACCTCTTCTCAAATGGGACAAACTTCGTGTTCCAAAGATGGTGATGAATTTTTCTTCATCTGTCCCCCATTTCAGTTCTCCAGCCTGAAACAGAGCCTGCAAAATTTTCAACCTCAATTAATAAAATGTTCTGTGATTCCTTCCCAAGTCCTGAATCACCCTTGTTCTTTGTTCCATGAATAGTGAATTCACCTGATTCATCATCGTATGCTTTTCATTTCTAAACTTTCCTATTCTGATACTCAGCCCACTGAAACTGGAGCTACTTGGCAGCTCGCCACTGAACTGTGCCCCCACAGATTAATGGGCCAGGGCAGCAAAGCACAGCCAGAGTGCAGGATTAAATCTTTCAAGACATCTGCTGTAACTCCCGATCTTTCAGGCACAACAGGATGGGTGGAAGGAAAAGTTCTGATCATTTTGGTGTTGATACATCCACTTACAGGCTGGGAAATGATTTATGTGGGAGCTAAGTTACCTGTATTTTCTGTTTTACTTGTTCTATCACTGTCCAACTGCACAGGACAAAAAGTATATCCCACATTTTATCTTTGCAACCAAAAGTGAAGGCTAGCTATAAAATGTGTTCACATTTCTGAAAAGCAAAATAAATTTTAAAAAGATGCTAGTGTAGTGTGGTGGTTGGAATGTATCAGGCACCTAATAAACACTTGTGTTGAATCATTTGAATGCCAATATCTACTTTCTTTTTTTTTTGGTGGCACTGGGGATTGAACTCAGCCCCCTACGCTTGCCAGGGAAGTGCTTATTCCACTGAGTCATCTCTCCAGCCCCCAATATTTACTTTCTCACATGAAAAAAGAAAGATGATTTCCAGAGCCCATGTAGCTGCTTTAAAAATAACTATATATAAGCATTATCACTAAATCTGAATCCATTTATTGAGATGAAGGCAATTTATTAAAACCCAAGAATCAGTCCATGGCATCATACCGAACTACTCTTTAGTTGTTAATTTCAAGTTATTACCTGTTAAGCCCAGGTGCATGAAATGTGTTATAGCTGTTACCCAGAGGTAGCAATCCAAACAAGAGCAGAAAGTAACAATTACCTGCACTAGAGGTGAGACTCTGATCATAATACTTCTAAAAATATTGATTATGGTGGTCTAGATCTATTTTTATTACATTTCCAAATAACTAAAGACAAAGGTAAGACATCTTTACACACAACTGTGAAATCAATTTACTTTAAGGATAAAAACAACCAATATCACGTCTGTGGATGATCTTCATAATAATGATGGCGATGGTGTCTTCACATTGAACAATGATACTTAAAGATTTTGCCTTGTTCTAATCTATGTATCTTTCCTCTAAACAAGAATGTCCAGGATCCATGAGCCGCTAAGGATCGAGGACCTCTGTCCTCCTCAGGCAGGCGCCTTCCCTTTACAGTTCCTCCTGAGCACAGTTTGAAAACCCTGGCTCAGGGCAAAGGACAGAGGGTGGAGGAGCAGGAAAGACCTGACTCTGGCTCTTATCTGTGAGACCTCCGAGACCTCCGATGAGCTACTTAGTCACTTCTTAAGCCTCCGCCTTGGTCTGCAGAGCAAGAATCCTGGTTCTTCAGGGTCATTAATAGAGATAGCATAACCTAGGTAATTCCTGAGCAGCACCACACAATCAGGAGGTGCTCAAGAACACTGACTCCTTTCTCCTGCCCTCTCCTCTTTCTGAACTCAACTTTTCCTCCACAGATAATATAGAACAAAACTTTAGCAGAGAAAATACAAATTAATTTCAGTACTTTAAAAATATTAAGTCAGTGTAACATTTTAAAAAGATAGCATCAATTTGACACATTAAAAAATATTTCAAAATAAAACATTATCTACAAAATGTTTAGCTCCTGGGTGAATCACTCACTGCAGTTTATCAGATTCCTAATTTAACATGAATCCTCCTGGTGTCAGATATTAAAGACAAAAACTCAAAAGCTTGTTTCAGTTTACCTTAAATTTCTCAATTAAGAAATCTTAAATTCTCATTAGTGGTAGGTGTTCACCTGCCATTGCTATGAAGTCTAAATGTGTTTCTTTTTAGAAAGCCCAAAGAATAACTACTTCCAGCAGGTTGAATTACTAATAACATTTTAAGGAATCAAAACCTGCAGCCAGCATAGCTTGCTCTGCTGACCCCAGTCACTGGAAGGGAAGAAAAGCCTGGCCCAAAAGGTATTTGAAAACAGCCCCGTAAGGCAGATTGTCCAACATCCCACTTTCAGGCTCTGAATGATTACATCCACTGCACCACAGGAAATGCCAGCCGGTAGACACAAAGTGTGGTCCCAGGCTTAGAAGCCTGGGAGTCTCCCTGAGAACAAGGTAGAAGCTTGGGGCTTCGAGGTCCTACCCAGACCTGTGGAATCAGAACCTCAGTGCAACAAGATCCCCTGGTGACTCACACACCAACCCACGTCGACACAGTGCACTGTCATGAGAGCTTTGCGGGGAGAAATCAGTGGAAATAGGTTAAGGGCACTGCCTTCCCTCGAGAGCCTCAGGAATCTCATTACTGCCCTGACTGCTTGGAAACCTGCCCGCAGCTCACTGTGAGGCTGGCAGAGCCGCTCTCTACACAGACGCCACAGAGAGTTTCCAGAACTCCACTCCTGAGAGCAGGAATGAGGTCATCAGCACTGCCTCCAACCAAGACCGCAAGAAATAATGCCTGGAAAGAAGCAAGGTCATCATCTCATTGTCAAGCAAAAGCCCTAACAGATGGGACATGACCTTGGAGGCTGCCCTGGCCCTTCCTGACCGCTCTCCACCAGAAAGTGGATGTAAACTGGATCTGTGCTCCGGGGGTGCATTTATTCAGCTCTTGATAGGACAGTGGACTGGAGAAGCAACGAGACTGCTGTTTGGTGAAAGGGTTTTGGGGTCGGGCAGGCCTGCCAGGAATCCCTGCTCCACTGCTATTTGGTAAGAATGTGGGCTTGTTTACTCATTTACAGAAGAGAAACTAAAGGAGAGTTGAGTGCTAATTCATTCACCAGTTACTGAGTGCCAACCATATGCTTGAAGCCAAGTGTGCAACTGAACTGGCCGCTCAGTGCCTGGGGAAGGCTCTCACTGAGGGGTGACTAGTGTGGGGACAGGCCACCTGGCATGATGCTGTTTTCCTGTAAGGTCCACAGGAATCACCCTTGAAGCCTTGGGTGTAGCTACCTGGAAAACTCAGTTTTCCTATAGGTCAGCTCAGGGCTGACCTCTGAAGAGGACTTGTCAGGAGAAGGGGTGGAAAGAGCAGGAGAAGGCTAGGGGCGAAAGTAAGAAAGACACAGCCTGGGGGCTGGGGGGTGGCTCTCAAACCACATCTGTAGGCCTGGACTTGATCCTGGGCACAGTGGGACCCCCAAGGGTTTGAAAGTCTTGGACCAGAATGTGACACAACAGGCTGGCATTTGATAAGCTACAGTGGGGCGAAAGTCAAATACTGCATTTCTGAAAGCCATTCGGTTCTTTCCCTGTCTCCTACAAGGCAGCGATCACGGCATTCTGAAGCCACTGTGCAAGCACATCAACCCACTCAGAAGAACTGATGCTCCCCTCTTCCCTAGCAGCAGTCAGGGCATGAGCTCTCCAGTTCCTACACAGAGAAGGGATGAACCCAGCAGAAGAGCACCTCCATTCCCTCCTTTCCCAGTCACAAGAAACAACCAAGACTGCATCTACCTAACAGAAAGCACAGCGAGGGAGGCAGGGCTACCCCAGGTAAGTCTAGGAACCCAAGTATTTCCTGTATGATCGATTTCCACTTTCCACCTCTCCTGTTTCAAATTCCCTACCACCTATTTCCCATAGCTGAGAGCTTTATAAACCACACTGAGATTATGCTGGGATGTGTGAGTCCCTTAAGTGTGAATATTCCTTTGAGAATCACTAAAAAGCAGCTGCCAGAGCGCTGCTGTTCAGAATTCTGTGGAAGGAAATGCTGAGAAGCTTCCTAATGTGAAACTAACCTCTCATCTATCATGTAATAAGACACCACATATCATTAAAGCTTTTATTCTTTGTCTTTTCTACAGCTAAGAGACTTTCTGCATCATAGGCAGTGCTGTTAACACCTGGGTCTTACTGCTGTACAATTTTTCTATTTTATGAATGTCCCATAATCACAAAAAAAATCCTAGAATGTGTCTAGGTAGAATTTGCTATGTAATTTATTTTATTTTAGCTTGGAATAAAATAACTGTTTTGTTGGCCAGAACAAAAGAGATGGGGGCACAGAAAGAAAGAAACCTACATGTGTGGTCTTATGTCAAGGACCCAACCACCAAATCACTCCTAGACGCTCGTCCAATGTACACTGTGCCTCTCCATGAATTCTTTTTCATCCCTGAGTCCTTACTAATCACCATCAGATGGTGGCTGCACTCACCTGAGCATCTTGTTCAACCTGATTTTCATCAATTCCAGCATCAGAGTCCCTGTTTGCCTGTAAGACAAAATATGTCACATTACTGAATTATACTGCCTGTTCCTTCTGATGACTATGGACATAAAGCTTTGTCTCTTAGCAACATCATGCTTCTTCTAAGAGCCTATCAGGCCTAAGATTTCACACTATCCCAACTCTAAAACTAATCTGACTCCTCTGATTTTAAATTTTATGGAAGAGAAGGATATGCATTGTTGTCAAAAACAAGTGGGTGTTTTAGCTATTAAGAGCTTAGCTGAATATACATAAATATAAGGAAGCACAGGCAACATTCTGAGAGCCCAGTAAGGATCAGCAAGTACCAAAAATTATAAAGTGGCTATACATAACAGAGGGCAGTCCAACCTCAGAGTCTTTAGGCAAATATGACTCGTCCCCACCCAATACCTGAAGGAGGACCACCAACATTCTCTGGTAGTTCCCTGATGTATCCCCCACCACGTCATCTTCCAGGCTTGAGCCATACTCTGCAACAGAATTAAGTCATACTTACTTCCAGTTTCTAGCAAGCACAAGAAGGTATTTTACCCCATAAACCAATGAAAAACATGAAAGGAAAAAAATACTGTATTTGCTAAATATGAGTGTTTCAGTGACTGAAGGCAGATACTTTTGAGCAGCTTGACAAAAAATTAAAGTCTCTAAAAGGCACTTGATTCAAATTCAAATCACAAGAGCCAATTAGAAATGCTTTCACCCATGTATTTATTAATCTGAAGACACATTAAAGGGCTATAAAGCCTCTCAAGCCTAATCAGTCACAACTCGAAGCTGTTTTGCTTGCTTTCAAAGTTTTACCTAATTGGTTTCCAAGTATCTTCCACCCTCCAGCTGCTTTTCCTTGCACATCACCTTCCCTCCCTCTAATAAGATTTTATTTTTCCTCTGTAGCAAGTGAAGTTAGCTTTGAGAGACAGCAATGTCATGGTGAAGAATGAGCCTTCTACCTCTACTGCCATCCTTCAACATATGATCACAGAAAAAGGAAGACCCCAAGATAGAGGGGACTTGACACCCTTCCCACTCAGACAGCCGCTATGACAAGGAAACAGAGATTACCTTAGTACACTTGAATATTTAATCACTATTTGAAAGCAGGTGAACTTTAAAATTCTAAAGCCTCCATTTCTAAAAGAAAAAATTATATTTTTTTCCCAACCAATTTTCCCAACAAATGCAGGAATCTGACTCCTCCCTCTATTCCAACACCTGTAAAGAATCAACCATCAGACCTTATCAATGGTTTCTTTCCTCTTTGGTTTAAGCTTGGCAAGCCTCCTATCACCCTAGGTAGGGCCATAAGTTCTCAACACCTAGCTTACCTCCTCACACATCTGGCTGCCAAACGAGCCCCTTGATTCAAAACTCCTTTCTTCCTACAATTGCTCCTTCAGCACTCCACTGCCCATTTAGGAATTTACCATGTCTGCCTTTGAACCAAGCTCAAATTCACCATCCAGTCATGCAAAACCATCTGTAACATAGCTGAGTGCTGACAAACCCTTTACAGCTTTCAAGGATACGAAGAGCCTGATGCAAGCCATAGGTTCACCATCACTGACCTAGCCTAACCGGGCGTATTCACCTTCCTAACGGACACA